TCAGGGGAGAGAAAGGAACAAATGCAGCTCAACAGTCTTCAGTAAAAATGAATACAATTCCTGTCAAAGAATGTAATATTCCAAAATCACTTAGTGTGATTGGCAGCATCAAATATAGCAAAATGGATTTCTATTTCAAGATGCAGTTGGTTCTTTTCCAAAAGGCCAGGTTCAGGGTGTTCCTCCTGGGTATCAGCTGTCTGACCCCAGGCTCTGAAACACCTCATGAGCCCACCCAGGGCCCTGCTGGACTCCCACTGTCTTGATGATCCAATTTGGAAGACAGCACAAAAATGAAAGAATTTTTAAGAACATGTTTTATAGTCAATCCTTTGCCTTCAAGTCAGACACAGTTATACTTAAACACTCTGGAAGAGAAAACTGCAACTAATACTACAAAATAAGCAATTTAAAATGACTTCTGTAAAAAGCAGGGGAGTCTTGACATTTGATACCTCAACACTAAAAGAAATTCAAAATGACTGCTAAATATATCTGCATTAGTACAGTGAACACTTCTTGCTCCACATGAAAAATGTAATGTATTTGCATAACTGCTGGTTAGGCTCATGAAGTTCTAAAGTCATTTCAGCCATAGGTAGAAGATTTTGAATAATATAATTTTTAGATGTTAAAGAAAAAAGAGGACTACCTATGGACTAGAATAAAGATTCAATAAAGAAAAGGTGAAGCTGTTATTTAGTTTTGATTTTAAAAGTCTAATATGAATATTATCCCATTAAAGACTCAAAGTACTAAATCCAAACAAACAAACAAGAAAAACAGTTTGGTAAATTCTTCATTTAACACTCAGGCATTTCTCTCTCTAAAGGGTAAATGCAGAAACACTTTGGCATGAAAGACCTTTCCCTCCTGGAATTCTAAGGACACAAATGTATTATGAAGCCCCTGAAGAAGATGTAAAAGGCTTAGCACTCTCATCTTGTACCAAGATTCAAATCAAATATTTACTGTAGTTTTACTACCCATGTATATGTGTGTTTTATATATATATATATATATATAAAAGTAACGATATTGGCCAGGCGTGGTGGTGTATGCCTGTAATCTCAGTGGTGTGGAAGGTTGAGACAGGAGAAACACTAGTTCAAAGCCAGGCTCAGCAACTTATTGAGACCCTAAACAACTCAGTGAGACTCTGTCTCAAAATAAAATATAAAAAAGGGCTGGGGATATGGCTCAGCAATTAAGCACCCCTGGATTTAGTCCCCAGTACCAAAAAAGAAAAAAAAAAAGTAATGGTATCTGTAAGTAAGGGAACATGGTATGGCGGCATAGGCTTAGACTACATATTTGAATCCTGTTTCTAAGAGCTAGAAGCTCTATAACTCTGGCAGATTTCTTAACCTTTCTGAAATTCAGCTTCCTGGATGGTAAAATAGAAGTAATAGTTATGAACATCATGCAGGCTGATTCTGCATGTTAATTGAGTTTAAAGTGGTCATAATAATAATAATCTAATTATTAAACACATTATAAGTATACAATGCATTGGTTATTACTTTATGTTAATTTTTCATTTAATGCATATGCACACATGTAAGGTATTATTATCACTCTCTTCCCACTGGTGAGGCAAGTTAAGTCCTCTGCTCACAAGGCTACAGAGGCTGAGCAGAATTTGACTACAGGTCTGTCCACACTCTTTCTTCTACTTAATACTTTGCATTTTCCCCACAGATCTTGATCTTATGTCATCATAACATTTATCAAAATGTAAAATGATCTTTCATCCTTAGAGTAGACTGTATTAGAACAGAGATTAGGGCTTGCCATTCATCCATCCATCCACTGTCCTCTCACCGGCTCATCCATATTTCAGAGGCAATTAAGTGCTAGGCATTGTGTTAGCTGCTGGAATATCAGACGGAGTGGAAATAACAGTGACTCTGTCCTCAGGGAACTCAAAGTCTACCCTAAAAGACACTTCAAAGTAGAAGTTAGCTAGGCAAAGAGATAGGGACAGAAACCACTTATGAACAGGACTCTAAGAAGAGACCTCACCAGGTATGTAAGGAAGGGAAAAAGCTCTGTGTTGGGAGAGAGCACTGGGAAGACGCAGTGTCACCGACAAGATGAGCTCAGAGCCCGAGCAATGGGATGAGGAGGAGAGGGGAGAGACCAGAAAGAGGAGAGACCAGAGCATACAGGACTATTTAAAGATTTGGGAGTTTATTCACGGTCAGTGGGAATGCCAGTCGTTTTTTTAAGAAAGATCACACTAGCAATAGTGTGGACACCCAACTACAAGAAGACAGGAGAGGAAGCTGGGATGTTCAGTGGAAAGAAATCTTGAACTGTCCATCAGGGGAACTGTGATGGTAGTTTGACCACAAGGGTAGCAGTGCAGGTGGGGAGATATGTACAGATTCTGTGTACACCAAATCCCCCACACCCACCACAGTCCTGACAACAGAGGAACTGCATAATTTGTTCATTGAATGAATGATTAATTCTAAACAGAGTTGTTGCTGGTTCTAAGGCAGCCACTAACCCATGTGCATAACCTCCTCATGAGCAGTATAACCATCCCACGGGCATGGGAGACCCAGGAAGAGGTGGAGGAAATGATTATGAAATTCATAAACCAGCTGGCAAAATGGCACTTCTGAAAACCTCTTGATGTATATAAAAAGTACCTTTTGTAAAACAAAATGCCTCTTCCACTCTGACAATGGAAAATTTTAGAAGCCAGGTATCTTTCTGCTATGTGACTTTCCAAGCTTGTTAGAAAAAATGTATTATTTAAAATAGCCTAGAGCTATGCTGCTAGAAACACAGTAGAACACTAAGGGTGCTGAAAGAAAGCCCTTTTATTTAAGGGGGAAAAAAAGATGTGGTTAGAAAGAGAATCTCTGTATGTCATTCTAGTTTCCTTCTGGTGAGAACTTGGTATCTGTCATTACCTCCTAAAACAGCAAAATATTTTGATTATTTATCAGCAACAAATTAAAACAGAGTTAATATATTTTCTTCTCATCTGATAAATTCATGAGCTCTGGACAATGTCTTCTCCATGTTATTTAATCATTTCAACCTTTTGTCCACATGACATTGATTTTGCTAAAACTATAAAACTAAAACCATTTGGGAAATCCAGTGTTTTGTTCATGTGGACATAAGAACTTGGGTGAGAATCAGTGATTACAGTGAACTGAATTCAAAACCTAATCATTAACCCCAACACCTCTGAAAATGTTTTCTCATTCTTCAACAGAGCTAGAGCACTAGACAGGGTAGCAAAGAGGGAGTCAGTCTCACTTAGAGATCAGCTGCTTTCTTGCTAGCATTGTTAAACTAATATACTTGTTGACTTCTCAATAATTAGAGCTTTCATTGTTATTAAAGTGGTTACAACAGTACATTGCCTAAGCGAAGGTGATAAGCTCATGTTTGTGGTGGCACAAATTTGGCTTAATTTTATGTAGAAGAAGAGATCTCACTGTCAAAACATTCAGTTCCAAGGTTGAGCCAGGTAACTTCTGCAGCTTTGATCAAAGTGCCCACCATCAGCGCCTCCACCATTGCTTCTAAAGAAGCTCAAAGTGCAGTAGGGGAAGAGATCAGGAGAATAAAGGGAGCTAAACTGAATTTCTATGTAAGGCACTATAAAAGCTTAAAATATAATTTGCCTTATTCCATTTCAGAAACCACTTTCCCCTGCACTGAAAATAAAGCTTTATGTGGTACTCTCTCTACCTTTAGAATGTCTTTGGAGTCTCGAAAGTGCGTTTTCTGCAGAATCAGAAAGTGGAACATAAGAGCATCAAATAATGCTTTGGTCTTCTCAGTGTAAGAACTATTTTAAAGAACCTTGGTGATCATGGCAGATGATAAAGGAAGATCTCAGAAGTTTTAAAGAGGTTCAAGTTTGAATAAAACAAAGGTATAAATTGTTCCATCTTTTATCATCCAAGAAAACAAGATTGCATCTTATTAACTAAAATTCATACTTTAATAACATACCAACAAATCATTAGTGTCCTAAGTTTGTAGTCTAACAGAGAAATGAATAACCTCAAATTTATGATATTCTCATTAAGAAAGCTTCCTGCCCTTTTAAGTGTGCACCAATAAAAGTAATAAGAAAAATTATTTATTCCAGTAGAGGAAATAAATGTCTAAGCTTAAACCTTGCATAGCTATTAATTATAAAGGAAAATTAGAAAATAGTATACTTTAAATAAACCATTGCATTTTAAACTTTACAGACTTGGGGCTGGGGTTGTGGCTCAGCAGTAGAGTACTTGCCTCACACGTGTGAGGCCCTGGGTTCAATCCTTAGCACCACATAAAAATAAATAAACAAAATAAAGGTATCAAAAAAACAAAACACATCTGTCTTTAAAAATAAATAAATAAAGTATATAAGTTTAGTAATGAAATTTTAAACAATACTCAGTTCAATTCTATGTGCATTTACACATAACATGCTATTTTCAAAGTATAATCTCCTACAATTGATAGTTTAACCATTAAAAGTTGTATATTTGCACTTTTACCAGATAATCTAGCAAAGAGATTCAAAACAAATTCCAAACTGTCTATGCATACACTGGAATGACCCATATATATCAAACTATAGTAAATACTATTAAAAATGAGCTCTTTTAATCAGTTTTTTAAAAAACCATAATTGTGAATAGCTAACAGTACAAAAATATAATATCAACGTTCACTTGAACCTGTATCTTAAATTTTTGGATGTATTTTTCCAGGTTATAGGTCATTTGTTGTCAACATCATAATCCTTTGATAACCTCTTAAACAGATGAAATTGACTTTCCCTCGAGAAGTGCCAGAATATAGTGATATCTAAGAAATACGATTAAATTAATTTAATTCCTTCACGTCAACTTGATAAGTCACAGCTATTTAATGCAAAAACTGCCACTTGCAATTAATGACTATTGGTACTGCTTCAATTGATCAAATGTCTAATACACATAAAACATTCAAAGAAGTTCTGTATATCTTACAGCAATTCAGTGGAGAAGTCTTGTCCCAGGGGTATGTAAATCTGAAGTACAAGAAACCTCTGGATCAGTCCAACTAGAACGAGAGGGAGAAAATATACATTCAAATGTTCCAGCCACTTATATGTGCACATAAACAAACACAATCACATGCCATCAACAAGTTGAAGCTTTTAAAGCATTTCAGGAATATACAGACCTATAGTAGCACTATAAATGAATTATAACCCCATTAGGAAGTGGGAAAGTTGATGAAAATCAAATCCAATTCTAACAACAAATGTTGCCTTTTAAAAGCTCCATCTGTGGCCTGGGTGAAATTTTTATGAAAATTTAAAAAATAATAATGTTTTATTTACTATTTTTATTAGGCTGCAAGAGAATACACATAGAACTGTGCTCACCAGGCACACATAAAATCGAACTGTAGAGTCCCATCACGGTGGCCATAAAAGCATGTGGCAATCATTTTTATTCACTGACAGTTTTAACAGTACTAAACAACTCAATAAAAAACAATAGATCAAGAAAAGCAATTCTAATTTTGACAACTACAATTGAAAGCTTGATGAGCCATATCTAGATCATATGGTTTTAAATGTGTCCATACTCAGATGGATGGAGGAACATATTTTCATTTATAATACCTTTTAATTTAATATACTTTTAATTAATGGGCACAAAGTAAGAACTGTTAATTTTTATTTTCTATCACTAGTTTCATCTGGATTAAAAATATATGGAGAAAAACCAATCCCTGTAGCACTTTTGATAGCTGAAATCTATAAGTGCTTAAAAAAGATCAGTTGATTTTTATATTATCTCTACAGATTCATTTAATGCCTTTTAGGCTTTGAACTTTGGCTTGATCTCTCAATTAGTTTGGGTTTTTTTTTTGGGGGGGGGTGTTACGGGAGATTGAACTCAGGGGCACTCATCCACTGAGCCACATCCCCAGCCCTATTTTGTATTTTTATTTAAAGAAAGGATCTCACTGAGTTGCTTAGCCCCTTGCTTTTGCTGAGGCTGGCTTTGAACTGGAGATCCTCCTGCCTCAGCCTCCTGAGCTACTGGGCTAACATACCCATCTGATCTCTCAATTAGAATACTCTTCACAGATATTTAGTATCATACCTCCTAAAACATGCAATTTAGGAACTTTCTCCCTGGATGTATAGGAAATAGAGACATCTTGAATCTGCGAACATTTCCTATAAAGTAAATAGTACTGCCAACAGGTGGAGAAAAGATTTCCAGAAGGTAACTGGTCTAAAATAAATGCTATTTTCTATTTATACTGACTCAGTAGGCCTAACAGAATAAAGTATTTTAAAGTAACAGTACATTTTGGTAGTCTATATAAGACTTCCTGGTTTGTAATTCCTACGGTAAACTGTCCTATAACATTTCTGAACACCTTAATCATTTCCTATATTTAATCCCAGACTTAGTTTCTAAACAATAAACATATTAAATCAAATATGCTTAATAAGATTTTCATCAGACAGGGATAACTTTTATTTAAAAGTACTAAGTTTATAAATTAGTCCAAAGATCCAAGAGTAGGGTAAGCAATGTAATAAGAGATAGGAGATAAGAGGGGTTTACCCTGGAAAATTCTCTAGGAATCTGACTCTACCATATTCATGGGGACAGCCAGTGAGGCAGTGAGAATTCTGATCTACAAAAGTAAAGTGAGATATCAACTGAGGTCAAATTTTAAATAAGCCATGGTCAAGTCTCTCGAGTCTAACACTGATTGGCCCTACGAGAGAGCACCAGGGTACATGAAATCAGTCTTTTATAAAGGTCCCTAATTTATGCCACAGATCTCCATCAGCCCTGTTTCCTTTAAACACAGACAGCTATACATTTTTGTATAGCATTTTTAGAAAAGAAAAGTTCTGAACCCTCAAAAAAGACAGCTTTGTAAAAGGTTAACTTCTAAGATTAAAAGAAGTAGGATGATACCATATAGTGATGATCTGACAAAGAAAAAAATACTTTAATAACATTTGGCAGGCAGATCCTGTGTGTCAATGCTGAATAAACTCCATAGTAATATTTTTTACAGGGGCCTAGTAAATTTAAACTGACTCTTCATACCTACATTGTGTTTAGGATCATTCTAAGTAAGACTGAATGTGGAACTACTGTTAATCAAAAAAATGTCCATCAAGTACTAAGATACATAAAAATTTAGTCTTTCCTGAAATATGCAGGTTTCTGCAGTTTTACAATCTGTTGTCTGCATGAGACAAACTGCTTCATCTCTGGCCCTTTTTATTTATTTATTTATTTATTTTGGAGACAGGTCTCACTAAGTTGCTTAGGGCCTCCCTAAAGTGCTGAGGTTGGCTTTAAATTTGTGATCCTCCTGCCTCAGCCTTCCAAGTTGCTGGAATTATAGGCATGCACCATTGTGCCCAACCTGCCTGTTTTTTTAAGAAATTAGTCCTTTCATCTTTTGAATATTTAAAATACAATTAGTAAAACACCATTAGAGTTTTAAACGTTAGCTTACCGGTCATTTCAATAAAGCCAATGACAGAGTATACATCTCACATACATTTTACAAGAGTCACATTGTATTCAAAGAGTTGGGATGAGACCACAGTACATTCTTTACAAGTGCCTTGAAAAATTAGGACTCAAGTTATTCCATGGTTCCTCACACAAAAAAAACATACTGAGATACACCTCTCCCATCTCAATAAATAAAAAGAATCAGTTACACCATCATTATGACTATTCCACATCCCTTAGGCAAATTGGTAAACATGTCTAGACCCTCTTATTTTCTATCCATAAAACTACTAATTTAGATTCACTACTAAATTAGTAATTTTATGGCTACTAATTTAGATTCACACCTCACAGGGTCATTTTTATGAATTAAATTAGCCCTATCATTCATCAAAGATCTGTGGAACACCTACTATGTATAAGACTTATTGTTGAAGTTTTTGCTGCAAATAAGAGACATGGTCTCTGCCCTCTTGAACTAATACTCTGATTCCATGAAATAGAAAGTCAAGGTTCTATGACAGTATATAAACCTGGGTCCTTGCAGGGGAAGAGGATAATGAGTGACAGTTTTCTTAAAGAAATAATACTGGAACTGAGCTGGGAGGAATAATCAGGAATTGACTGGGCAAGCGGGGGAGAAACAAATAGCAGGCGGAGAGAATACCATGTCCCGTTGGGGGAAAGGACAGTAGTTGAAATTAACTTAAAAAGGTTTAATGGGCTGGCAGGAGACACAAAGGAGGAAAAGCAGCAGTAGTTATACCAGAATCCAATCATGGGGAGCCCTGAAGGCCACATGAAAGATTTGGGTCATCCTAAAATCAAAGGGAAGCTGCTCAGACATTCATTCATTCATTCCATAAAGATTTACTTGGGTGTCTCCCATGTTGCAGGCACTGTTCTTAGGGAACAAAATGAACCAAATCCTCTCTGCCAGTTCCTTTCCAGTGATGTTGAGAAAAAGCAACAAATCAATGTGACAATTATTCAGCATGTTAGATGGTGATTTAAGGCGGGGATGGGGTGGGTAAAGCTGGGTAAAAGATCCAGAGTGGAGAAGGGATAGAAAGTACAGGTTGCAACTTAAGTACAGGCCAGGTGGGCCACAAGGAAAAGGGTACTTTTCCTTGAAGAAGGGGAGAAGGTGAGCCATGGGGCTCTTCAGGGAGAGATGCTGCAGGTCAAGGGTATAGCTGTGCACAGGTGCTAAGGCACCCAGGCTATCTCGATACAGCAATGAGTTCTCTACCGTTGGATTAGAATGAACAAGGGAAGGAGAAAGATCAGAGGGTTAAGAGGATACCAGAATATATACACATGGAATACTACTCAGCCTTAAAGAAGAATAACATTATGGTATTTGAGAGTAAAGGGATGGAGCCAGAGACTATCAGGCTAAGTGAAATATTCAAGCTGATCCCAAAGAACCAAAGGTCAAATGTTTTCTCTGATATGCAAATGCTAATTCACAATAAGGGAGGGGGGCTAGGGAAGAATAGAGTTACTTTGGATTAGACAGAGGGAAATAAAGGGTGGGTATGGAGGTAGGAAGGATAAGAGAATGAATCGGGCATTATTACCTTATGTGCATATATGATTACATGACCTGTGTAAGCATGTACAACCAGAAGAAAGACAAGTTATCATCCATTTATGTATGATGTGTTAAAATTCATTCTACTGTTATCTATAACTAATTGGAACAAATGAAAGAAAAGAGGCTACCAGACACCTCATAGTCCTATAGATATGTGGAGCTTTTTAGGGGGAGGGGTGTACCAGGGATTGAACTCAGGGACACTCTACCACTGAGCCACATCTCCAGCCCTATTTTGTATTTTATTTAGAGACAGGGTCTCGCTGAGTTGCACTTTGACATTAAGTTTGGTTGGGAAGAAGAAGTCTCAAAAGGAGACTAAGAAAGGCCAGTGAAGCAGGAGGCCACCTTGGAGGCGGGTATCCTGGAGGATCGGTGAGGAGAGTGTACCAAGGAGCTGCCAGTATTCTCCCATGATAGGTGAGGGAAGATGACAGCTGAGAGCTTGTCACTGGGTTCAGGAATGCAGAAGTCACCAGTGACTTCCACAAGAGCACTATCCATAGAATGGTGAGATCAGAACCATTTAAGGGTTTTTAAGCAGAGGAAGTTTACCAGATACCAAAGGAGAGGTATCAGGAGGTCTGAGAGGACCTCGTGAAGGTGACCTCATCATCCAGAGTATAAACCCCGCAGATGAATACAAGACTTCAGTGACACTGATCTCCAGGGACCCACTATCTGATTCAGATGTCAGAGGCAGAGAATACAGTAGCTCAAAACATGAGCCTTGTAAGAGAGGTCCTGAAGACCTCCCAAATGAGACATGTGCACGTGTGACAGAGATGCTTCTCACAGGACAACTCTGTATAATGTGTTCCATACTGAAAAGCAGCAATTTATTTAACTGGTGAATGAGTCACCCAAGTCTTGTTATCAAGGTAAGAGGGTTACGGTTAGGAATTATAATCCAAATTTCATAATTTCTTTTTTTTAGATGTTGATGGATCTTTATTTTATTCATTTATTTATATGTGTTACTGAGAATCAAACCCAGGGCCTCACACATGCTAGGCAAGTGCTCTACCACTGAGCCACAACCTCAGCCCCCCAAATTTCATGATTTCTTAGTGTGGCAAACTTAACTAACTACTTGAACATCACTTGTGTGCCAGACCCTAAGTTAGGGGTGCAAGGAAGACAATTCAAGGTCCTTGTCCTAGAGAAATATACCCATGTGATAATGGGTAGCATGTGTTCCTTTATCTGGTAGGTGCTGAGTGAAGTAACCTGGATGTATTTAGAAATCCTCAAATATAAGTTGATTCAGAAATTGTTATTTATGAAGTTAAACATGCATAATTTCATTATTAAACTTTCTTCCTAAGTACCTAATATAATCAGAAACACACATGAAAGACCTAATGTCAAGTTTGCATAAATAAAGTGTGTGTTTACTCTTCAAATAGTAATATGTGATGGTAATTGAACTTAATTTAGAAATGTTACTTGAAAGCCACTTCTCTACTCCAGACACGTCATTTAATTTAAAGTTAACCATACCAAGCCTATACAGAAGGTCATATTATGCAAGTAAAAATAACTCTATAAATTTCTGTTATGAATAATTCCCAACAACTAATCTTAGAGGCATGAGTGCAGGGCACTATATAAACTGTTTGATCTGTTACAGTGCTGCATGTGCTACATAAAAAACAGGTTAGTCTTTAATTACAGGGCATTGTACAAGAAATGCACTAAAAGATCTTTCCTGTTTCTTCCAATTAAAAGTCATCATCTTTCCTTTTAAAGAGGTAATTATAACACATTAAATTTTTTTCTGACCAAAAAAAAAAAAAAAAAAAGAAAAAAGAAAGCTTAGATAAGACTAGGAAAGAGGAGCTTATGTTTAATCATTTAGCTTTGGATAGAGAAGGAATCTTTCTCAGAGCCAAATGAGAAAGTTAACAGAAGTGATTGATTTTATCAATAACATGACCATGTGTGAAGATGCTAAGGGCATTAAATGGAAGTCCAGGTGGGCTTTATAAGTCCAGCCAGAAAAAAACAGAAGAACTCACACTTAGAATAAAATCATGTTCCTGCAAATCAAATGTAATCTGTCTCACAAAATCAGTATCCTGGAACAGATGGACTGTGTCTCTAGTAAGAATAAAATATAGTTTTAGACATGTTTCCCTGGCTCATCTTAGTTCACCTCATTTATGCGGAAATAAAAAAAAAAAAAGAAATCTGTCATTACACACACACACACACACACACATACACACATATACATACATGCATGAGTGTGCAGAGAGGCACTAGGAAGATTCCCTGGTTTATAAATGGAGGTAAATTAACAAGTCTTTTAAAACAATGAGTAACTCTTCTCTTTAAGTTCTACTTCTTATGTCAGTTAAAACATTGGAAAACCACTTTAATATACATCAACTTCTATCTATGCTGCTTATGGCTTGGTTCATGTCTGAGAAATCTAAAACATGTATATAATGTTGGAAATAGTACATAAAGCACAGAGCTCCTGTAAGTTCAGAAAGTTGAATTAAAATTAGGAAACCAGAAGAAAACAGTTTTTTTCATAGTGCCTGATGCATAGTAGGTATTCAATAAAGGTTCTTAATGAAGGAAGGACTAAGTAAATGATGAATGAAAGAAACAGAATTGTCTGCTTATATTTGCTATACACTTAAACATAGGACAGAGCTGGTGGAAGATCTGATTGTTTTGATAAATTATATTTCTTAAATAATGTCAGTTTACTCAAAGTCTGCTGGTAGAGCCTTTAATTTGAACCTTATCTCTGCTGATAACTGGGTTTATGTGTTTTCTCGGGGTTCCTTCTTGTCCTGGAGCTTTAAAATACTGATTCTAATTTCCAAAGTTAATAAGAATTAAAATCAACTCTTTGGGCTTTTGTTAAATTATAAATTCATAGCCATACTTATTAGATATTAATATTCTTAAAGGCATATGAATCATGATATCACTAAATAATATCTCATACAGTATTTTTGATAGATTTTTTTTCCTTTAAATTGATTTCCTGTATGTTAGGGTTTATTTCAAAACTTAACTACCTGAGTTCTTGATGGGGGAGCCAACCTCAGTTTGTTCATCTGTAAAAGAGCTATTATAAGGATTAAAAGTTAATAAAATATAAAATTCTCATTTCCTAATGCAGTGTTAGTGCTCAATAAATGCAATTATTATAATAATTAATGGATCCTAAATCATCTTCTAAGTCTCACTTGTAGATTTCCAGTAGTTAATGAGGCAGAATACATTTTTACCCCAGTACAACACCTGGTATAGATACTTTCTACATTAAAAAAAAAAAAAATCACAAAATCACATCACTTCCCATCAAGAGATGCCAGTAGAAGTCATACTAATATGCATGTTTATGAGATATAAAATCTTAACCTTATCAAATGTGAAGTTTCAATATTAAAAATTATACTTACGGATTTGCTTATTCTCCTTTGGTAACTGAATTTTATTTGTTTGGCTGCTGCCTTCCAGGACAAACACAAAACTTTTAACTTCTTTATCAAACTCCTATAGAACAAAATGAAAACAGTGGTAATTGAAGTGGATTTTATTCAGCTTCTTCTATAAAACTGAAGAGTGCAAATTCACAGGGGGAAAAGAATCCCATATTCAAATGACTTAAAAGCAGGCTCAGGCCTTGATGATACTCTCATCTGAGACTTGCTGGGAAACGGAATATAAAAGCCACACTAAGCCATTTTGCAAATCCCCTATTATATCAAGACATCTTTCCTTCAAATGATAAGAAGTTCTCTAACTTCAGGGAGTCCCAGGTCACTGATTTAGAGTTTCCAGAATTTAATTGCCCTTCTTCCCCTTCAGTCTATGTATTTCTGTCTAATTGCACAGGGCTGAAGATCACTCTTTGTCGTGGTACAAGAAACCATTTAACTTATGCTATATCCAGCCTAGAAGTTCTTTGGTTTCAGGCCATGGCTCAAATAGAATTAATCATTGCATTATTTTACACCTGTGTAACAATGAAATTCTGTATATCTTTTAATTAAAATCAATATGATTTAAAATGTTATAATTAAGGCTAACTGAAAAGCTAAGGTAGGAGAATCAGGGAATAAAAAAACCTGAAAATGAAAAACCTGTAATATGTAAGAGTCCAATTTCCATCAGTCAAAGTGCTGATGGGAAATAGCATTATTATCTGGGAGCAAATTCTCTATTAAGTATAAACGCTTCATTGAGTTCAGTGGCACATGCCTATAATCTCAGTTACTGGGGAAGCTGAGGCAGGAACATTGCAAGTTCAAGACCAGCCTGGGCAATTTAGCAAGATCTTGTTTCAAAATAAAAATAAAAAGGGCTGGGAATGCAGCTCAGTGATAGAGTGTCCTTGGGTTCAGTTCCCCGTACAGTACCCCCCCTGCAAAAAAAATTATAAACACTTCCTTTTTAAATGAGAATATTTAACAGATTCTTTGGCATTATGTTGGACTTTTTGTATATGTTAAAAAATGCATTGTAACTAATGGCTATGAATTAAATAACAAGTCTATTACATCCATCCCAATTTCTACTCCATGTATATAAATAAACATTCATGCATCAACTATATTGCTTATTCCATCTATGCACAAGTTGGGCATATACTTAAAACCTTTCAATAGCTTATTAAAATCTTCAACAGGGTCATAAACCAATGCATACTCTGGTCCTGGCCCAGCTTTTCAAACCTCATCTCCTATCTTGCCCACTCCTCAACAGACTTTAGTTTCTTGAAAATTCCAAGCTCTCTCCTGCTAGAAGGAATTTGTACATATTTCTCTTTGCCTGAAATTCTCTTTTATCCTTTGGCCCCTTTCTATGCCCAGCTCAGTTTTAGGACTCAAATATCATTTCCTTTGGGAACCCCTTCTTGATCTTCTCACTATTGACTCTCAAAGACCATTAATATCTCATTCATAGTAACAGCTGTGTAATTTTGAGCTTATCTTCTCCGGTAGTTTTCCCACCTATCAGATGGGTATACAGTTACCTATTTCACAAGGTTATTGTTTAGATTACATAACATTACAAATGTAAAGTGCTTAGTGCTATGTTTGACAAACAGCAAGTAGTGAATCAATAGTAGTTTTAAGTCATACCCATAGAACTTATTTAAGGTCGCTAAGAATGGGATTCTTGTCTTGATTATACAGGATAAGAGACAAAAAGATAGGGATGGACACAGATTTCTATGCTTGATGACAGCTTCTATCAGATGGTTTCTGTTTTCCCTTGAAGCAGGGCATGAGGTCTTCTGATGAATGAGCAGGACTTGTCCTGGGTGTGAACTGAAGAATGAGAAGAGGGAGTCTGGTAGTTGGAAAGCAGGAGATAATGGAGAAATAATCATTTTAGAGACTAAGAAAATAATAGGATAACTTTCTGGGCTGTTCAGGTTGGATTTACCCTATTATCAACCTGAAAGGCTGTAGATGTTTTGTCCAAAGGAACTGAAGAGCCCAAATGCAGGCAAAGAAAAAGACTGATGATCAAGAAAGCATTGGCCAAGTAGGCGTGATGAAAGGACAAGGTCCTGACCAGAAAGTGATTGAAGTGACAGACTTTGGTTTCTGAGTTGAAAAGAAAAAGAAGTGAAGACAGAAAATAAGTATATAAAACTAAACACAAGAGAAAAGTAGGGGCATCAGGGCCTAAAGGTCCCAATTAGACTGAAGAACACAGAGGAGATTAAATGAACAAGCAACCTTAAGAATCAAGGATTGGCCACTTGGGATGCTGGGGCAGGAGGATGGCAAGTTCAAGACCAGTGTGGGTGATTTAGTGAGAGCCTGTCTCAAATGAAAATAGAACACAGGGCTGGGGATGCAGCTCAGTGGGAAAGCACTGTCAAATAAATATAATGCTAACATGTGTGAGGTCCTGGGTGCAAAGAAAAAGAAAAAAAGCAAAGATTGGGGTCTCAGTAATTTCAGAGATCCTGCAGTTTACAGTGTTCAGCTCTAGGGTGTGACAGTGGGTGTGAATGCTGCAGCTAGGTTGAAGAGGTCAAAAGAAGTGAAAAAAATCAAGAATCTGAGCATCCCAGGACTTAGAGAGATTTTCCTCAGTGACATTAAAGTTTCTTAAAATGATACAGCAGGAGCTGGAGTACAGAGAAGAGGTAGGAGCCACTTGCTGAAGCCTTACACAACTCAGGAGTGATGTCCAGAACGCAGCAATGATGTCATGAAAGGGTTTGGAGCGAAAGAATGAGAACAGGGGAAACCATTCTGAAATCTTGATCAAGCCCCTTCTTCTACAACATTCATTCACATTTCTTCCCAGGATTCCTGTGGCTCTAACACTTACTTTCCAAATCACAGATGGACTACCAAGGATCTTCCATTTTGCACCAGGATTTTTGCCCTGAGCACTAAAGATTTCCACAAATGCACCTCCCTAGAAAATAAAAACAAGACATTTAAATTAAAGTGAAATATAATACTAGGGAGGAAACAGGATCCACCACCTAGTCTAAAACCAGCATTCAAAGCATCTGTCAGTTAAGTAGGTCTGGGAGGAAACATTATCCCTGTTGTTACTCCTACTTTATGTCTTGCTTGCACTGAAGCCATAGCTGTTGTGACTTTGGGTCACCTTGGATTTATTGTTTATGGAATTTATTTTTAAAGCATGATAAATTATGCATCACTAATGTTACATGTGGGGCTCATTTTATTGACATGTATAGATCATGCTTGCAAAACATTCTATTCTATCCAGATTAAAGGGTTTAAAACTCAATTCTCAAATGAAGTCAATAAATTCTGATAATTATCTGTGAATACAAGCTTTTTAGTTATATTGACCAGGGCTCCAAAACTGGCTTCTAAGCTATCTGACCTTGTAGTTACTTAACTTCTATAAAATGGATCACACAGGAGAGTAAATATAAATCATCATGCACATAGTGAGGGATCATTCAATATTACCATCAAGATTATTCAAAAGAGGGGGAAATTAAATAATTTAGTACTAGCCAAAAAAAAAAAAAAAAAAAAAAAAAGGCCTAGGAAGGATTACAGGGTAATTCTTATTTTGAGCATTCCTAAAATATCTTTTTCGATTTATTTAATACCAATCAATTTAGAGATGTCTAAGAAAAGGAGAGTAATCTATATGAGAAAAACAGAGAATCATTTCTATAGACATCAATTTGCTCCCAATTGTGAGCCTGAGAACATAGAGACACTTATTCAAAAATGCTAAAGACATTACTAAAAGTCCACACAATTAAATTGTAAAAAGAAGGGATTTTCTCTGAGGATGAATTTATTACAAAAATTGAGAATCTAAAATGAGAGTAAATATGAAGTATAAGCAAAATAGGAGAAAATGTTCAATTTTTGTAAAGAATTTCTAACTTTTAATGTTTTCTCAATAATATAAAGATATTTTCACTTCTGGCTTTTAATACATAATCACTTAAAATGAGGACATTTAATTTCATCTTCCCCAGGGAATGTTATGTGCAAAACTGTATATGGGATAGAATTACCATAGCTTCTGGGGGTGGTTCATATTTTACTAAAAATTTAAAATTTGAGACAGCTGAGTTTTTTAAAAGAAAAAGACCATTGCACTGGGTGAGAGACCAAACTTACTTTCTCCCCACTTTTTTCTGCTTCCCCATGTTTTCCAAGTTTCCCATGGTAGGCATATGCTTCTTTGGGGTGGGAGAGTTACCAGGGATTGAACTCAGGGGTGCTTAATCCCTGAGCCACATCTCTAGCTCTTTTTAAAATTTTATTTTGAGACAGGGTCTCTCTGAGTTGCTTAGGGCCTTACTAAGTTGCTGAAGCTGGCTTTGAACTTGTGATTCTCCTATCTCAGCCTTCTGTGTCGCTGGGATTACAAAGTGTGTGCCACAGCACCTGGCTGGGCATATACTTCTTTAGAATAATATACTTTACATGAAGTGAGACAAATTTTAAGTCTGTTATAAACCTTTTAATGAAAGAGGACTGCAACTTACTCTGAGGATAGGTGGTGATATCTGGTGAAAAGTTAAAATTAACAAAGCAGTAGAGACCAGGAGAACAGGAGACTGTTCAGGCACAGTGACAAAGTTCATAACAGCTGGATCAGGATGGTAAACAGACTACCCAGTGTAACCTCAAACAGAAGTGAAGAGGACACAACAGGAGACACCAGCAAAAAGGGAGATGCATAGTGAGGTGAGGAAAGCAGGCCATGCATGGAGACACCCTAGGATAGTCAAGGTGACGGAGAAACACCCAGAAACAAGGACACTCCGAGTGTGATCCTTGCTCTACCTGCATCCCAATCACTTGGAGGAAAGTTGTTAAAAAGATAAATGAATTCACCCCATCTATAAAAATTGTAATCACTAGCTCTGGGTAGAGGATCATGAAATCTGCATTTTTACAAATACACCAAGTGATCCTCATTGACCCCAAATATTTGATATTCACTGAACCCCAGTTTCAGAAAAAAAGAAAACAGCACTTAGCCAAAGTGCTTATTTTCATTCTGGGTTTCACCCATTCATGCATTCACTCATAATTAGCTTCTAAGATAGCATGATGCATCCATAGCAAGTACCCCAAGCGCTTGTTAAAACTCAAGATTTCTGGGCCCTGCCCTCAAGTCTGTGATTCAGGAGGTCTTTGTGGGGTGTAAAATCTGCATTTTAACCAGCATCACAATTTATACACTTTGAGAAGCACTGAACTGGAGAGTGAACAAAACCTAAATCATAGGCGTATAGACTTTGGTTGATTTCTTTTTATCTTTTTTGGGGTAAAGTCTATATATATATATATATATATATATATATTTTTTTTTTTTTTTAACCTTGAAAAAGTCCCTTGTGACTGGGATGGCAGGGGAGGGGGGTTGTTCTTTGTTCTTTGTCTTCCCCGATCAGGAGCCACCTCACCCAAGAGGAGAAAGCTATAGACAGTTTGGAGAGCCATTTCAGTTTACCTGGTACTCATTTTTGAACATTCCCGCAGAGGGGACCGGGGCTTGGGGGCAGAGTTCAGGGCTTCCAGCGAGTGGCGTGACCCTGAAGGCTGGAAAATCCGCGGGCGGGAACCCGGAGACCGACGCGCGGGGCAGAGCTTGGTGCGCCTGGCTGGGACTAGGTCAGGCTCTTCACAGCCCCTCGGGCCCCGGGTCAGCTGCACCTTGAGCCGCCGACCCGCACCATCGCGGCCCCGGCTTCCTCCCGGGTACCCCGATCTGGTGAGGACGCAGCTGCTAGGGCGGGCTCCGGGTTGTCCCTGGGGAGTGATTGTGTGCGTAACCTACGAGACGGCCGCTGCCGAACCACCGAGCCTCTGCCACCTACAACCGCCCGGGCAACCCGCCTAGGAAAGGCTGTCCGTTGCCGCCCCGCCCCCGAGTCCCCTCGGAAATGGGCGGGGCCCGGCGGCTCCACCTCTCGGCGGCGCCCATTGGCCCTCGCCAGGCGCCTGCGCACTGCGTTGTCTAGGCTGCTCTCCGACCCCCTGCTGCGAGGTGTTTGTCAGGTTGCCCAGGCAACCCAAGGACTGGAAGAAGTGGTGGACTGTGTAGCTGGTGACCCGCGCGCTCCCGTTAGATAGTGACTTGTGTCAGCAGAGAAGCCGCAACCTAGTGTTAAGAACTACCCCAGCAACTGGGCTGCTCCAGAGCATCAGTCACGTCGGGTTGATCTCTCCGGGTTGTAAACACTGAGAAAAAACAGTCATGGAATCTTGAAACCCTCAGGTGGCCTTTGATTCACATGTTCCCAAGCTTGGGTACCTTGAGACACTGATAAGATCTGCTGGACCCTTTCACTGAGAAGGCTCTGGCAATGTTTACTCAAGATCACTGCTGACTTTCAGAAGCCAAGGTTTTTGGCTCAAAATGGTAGCTTTCATTGAGACAAGCTCTGTCTTAAGCTAATTATTCAGTTACTGCATTCAGTTTCTAGATCAAAACCACTCTTTCGTGGAAGATATTATTTCCAGTTTGGGGCTCAGCTCTATGTCCAAGGTCATGTGGTCATTAAGTGCTGGCACTGGCTGAGAACTCACCTCTGATGTTACACTTATGGCTGAATTAGTGCCCTAGGGTTAATAATAACCAAGTACAACAAGCTCATGGACTCCTTGTTCTAAGTCAGGTAGTTCGTAGGCATGGATTACTTCCTTGGAGTTGGGAATATTGAGATTCAGAGTTAATTAGGAATTTACTCAGGGATGCAATGTTTCAGTTGTGGCTGGGTCTGAAGCCATACATCATTCTACTTTACCTGAAAGCTTCAGATATTTATTGGCTCTACCATATGCTAAGCTCCGTAGATCATGTGTGGGTTTCAAAAATGATTAAAATCAGGGCCTGCTCCTTCTCAAGGTTAAGAGCAGATAAAGATCAGACCCACTCTGAACACACTATAATATAGCAGTGAGACCATCTCACAGCTATAAATTCCAATAACATTCCTGGAATCCAGACTTTCTGACTTTTTGGAGCTCCAGCCTAGTTCACCAACAGTTTTTTGTTTGTTTGTTTTGCAAAGTTTGTGTTGGAGGCTTTAAGAATTGTGATCAAAAGACATGATTGCCAGGTATGGTGAGGTGTACCTATAATCCCAGCAACTCAGGAGACTGAGGCAAGCAGATTACAAATTTGAGGCCAATCTCAGTAACTTAGCAAGGCCCTAAGCAACTTACTTGAGGCCTTATCTCAAAATTTGAAAAGTAAAAAAGGGCTGGAGATGTGATTCAGTGGAAATGCACCTCTGGGATAAATTCCCAGTACCAATAAATAAATAAAAGACATGGTCTCTGTCTTACAAGACTTAATCTATGGTTAACATTTATCCATTCATTCATTTAACACACAGTTCTTAGGAACATAATATGTACCAGATACTATACTAAGAGGCTGGCTATACAGTGAAGCTGTATATATTAGGCAAGGAAGCCAATGAATGAATTAACAAGCAAATAATTCCGACTTGTAGTAAATGCTATGAATATAGTGATAGGGAATAACCTCAGAAGTGAATCTTAGATTCCTTTGGTGGTTATAAGAAATTACCACAAACTGAGGAATTCATTCTTTCATATTTTGGAAGGCCAGGAGTCCAAAACCAAAGCATCAGCAGGGCCAAACTACCTGGAGGCTTTAAAAGAAAATTGGTTCTTTGCCTCTTCCAGCTTCTGGTGGCCATTGTCATCCCATGACTTGTGGCTCCATCTCTCCAGTCCTCTGCCTCCATGGCCGCATGCCTCCTCCCCTCTGTGTGTGTCTTTTGGCACACTTGGGAGGGCATGTAGAGCCCACTTGTATCATCCAAGCTCATCTCTTAAAGTTTGATTTAAGTTCTCTAACATCTTTAACTACCCCTTTTCTAATAAATTTACACATCTCAGGGAGTTGATATGGATGGACACCGTTTGAGGGGACACTTTTGTGGACCACTGTTCCTATACTCTACTTGCATTATAATATAAATCAGCTTTTCATAAATGCTATAGGGAAGACAACAAAATACATTGAGAGTACCAGAGGAATCTATAGGACTTCAGTCTTCAAATTATCCTCTTGAAACCCTAAAATCTGTCGATACCTATAGCTGATATGAAACCCACATTTTGCCCTATGTTATTCTCTATATGCTTCTTGTGATTATCTGAACTAACTAATGAATTAATATGTATGTCATCTGTCTTCAACAATTAAAAAGCAAATGTCATGAGGGGAAGAACTATTCAGGGGTCATTGCTATAGTCCATCCCTAGAATACTGCCTAAGCTGCTATGTTACAAGTGGCTCCTTGGAGAGGCCCACATGGCAAATATAGTATATAGTAGGTATTTTATAAGTGCATATTTGTTGATTTAATGAAAGGCATCTTGTCCTTTCATACTCATCATGCCCAAAATAAAACTTGTCTCCAAATCTGGTCCTTTTCTATCCTTTCCAATCTCTTTGATGAACACCACAGTACCTCCTGATTCCTGGTTCCCCCTGGTAGACAGTCTCCAGAATGGCCTCCAGTGGTCCCATTTTCTGGTATGTGTGGCTCTGTGTGTAATCTTCTTCACTTTTTGGTCTAAATGACCCACTTCTAATGAGTACAATACGACAAAAATACTGAGATGTCCTTTCCAAGATAGACTACAAAAAGATTGACTTCTTGTTTGGCTTCCTTCACTCCTTTGTTCTGATTCTCTCTCTCTCTTTTCCTCTCTCCTCCTCCTCCTCCCCCTTCTACCATCCTCCTCTCTCTTCTTCTCCTCCTTCTCCTCCCTCTCTCCCTCCCCCCCCCCCCACTCCCCCTCACTTGCTTTCTCTGCCTTCACTCTGAGGGAAATAAGTTGCTATGTTACAAGTGGCTCCTTGGAGAGGCCCACATGGTGAAGAACTGATGTCTGCAGCCAATAGTCAATAAGATACAAGGCCTGCCAACAGCCACACGAGTAGGCTTGAAAGTGAATCCTTCACCAATCAAGCCTCCATCTGACAATCAGCCTCAATGCGATTATATCCCTAGTCAACACTTTGATGGTAGCCCTGTGACTACCTCTGAGTCAGAGGCATACATCTAAGTTGCACCTTGATTCCTGACCCACAGGTAAAATTAGATCAATATTAATTGTAAACTGCAAAGATTGGGGATCATTTTAACATAGTAATAAATAGCTAATATATCCCTGTATCCATCATCCAGACATATCTATTTTATCTAAATATTTCTCAAATTTTTCATCTTCCCTCTACTGTGTTCTGTGTGCTGATTTATCTATGATCTTCTCTTCCTCAAACGATAATGGCCTCCTGAGTCACAATGTGCTGGTCTCCTTTCAAATCATCCTCCACGTTGCTGTCAAAGTTATTTTTATAAAATGCAAATCCAGTCACATCAGTCCCCCATTTCTGGCCCTTTTGTGACTACAGAACCTGTTGGACTCTGTAAGATCTAGCCTTTCCCTTCCTCTCCAGCCCCCTGCCCCTGCATTTTGGCATATTGGGAGAATTTTGTTTTTTTTTTCAGTTCTTCAGGGTCAACATGTTCTCTTCTACCACAAGGACTTTGTGCTATTCTTTTCCATTGATTACTTCTTCTCACTTCTTTCCGTGGTTAATGGCAACTTATCCAATAGAGGTTGGAGCAAGGGGTCTTCCTTCTTTACTCTCTCTGATTTGATGAGATCCCCAATACAGATTTTAATAACATCTCAGCAAAAAGCATCATTGAAATCATTATTTAATTTTTATTTGTGTGCCGTAATGTTAGTCACCTCTCTTTGACTACAGATTTCAAAATTTATTGTCTATTTATGGTCACTATTGAATCCTTGGTGCCCAGCATACTAGTTCAAACTGGTACTTGATATAACAAATAGTAATTGAATGAGGGAGAAAGGAAAAAAGGAGGTGAAGGATGAATAGATTCTTAAAAGGCAACCATAGGCTATAGGTGTTAACAAAAAAAAAAATTGAAAAGAAAGCAATTGAAAACACATTAAGATAAAAGGGTAAATTTACAACCTCAATTTGTTCATGGAAAAATTTGTTACCCAGTTGAAAATGACTAATCACAATGTATCAGTAATTACTTAGATGTTTTTGTTTTGCATCACTTGTTTATTCAATTTAAGGCTGGAAGGGAATAGGATTATTTGCTTCACTATCTTCACTTCCAAAGCCAAACAACATCTCTTAACCCTCCTATCTTCTAACAAGTTCAGGAGATTTAGAGTTGTATTTTCATTAGCAAGTGTCAAGTAATGGTCAAATCTGAAAGTTTTGCAACTCAGATCAACATTATTCTGCCTATGATGAAAGCTATCCTTGACACTGACAGTGCTATAAAGCAGTATGAGAATAAATAACAATATGAACTCCAAGTCAGACATGGGTGGAGATCCAGTTTTACAATAGTGAATGTTCTTGTTTAATTTGGCTGAATGCTAGTTCTGAATGAAAACTTGGATTTGACTAGAACTTCAACAATGTCTACCAGAATTCTGGAAAAAA